TGCTCCGAAAGTATATGATTGTACTCTTTTCACTTAGCTAAATTTTTTATAGACAAGGTTTTCTTAGGTTAAGGTTTTTAATGAGGCAATCGATGTAGGTGCACTTGAGTGAATAGTCTTGAAGACCCTTGAAATCTTGAAGATTATGCTCTGAAGGCATATGGTTGCACTTTTTTCCCTTAACTAAGTTTTTCCCACTGGGTTTTCTTAGTCTAAGGTTTTTAATGAGGCAACCGGTGCAACACAATGATTTAATATACTTCATGTACTCTTTTCCTCGTCTAGTTTTTTTCCCACTGGGTTTTCTAGCGAGGTTTTAACGAGGCATGAGTATAGTTGTTTAATGGCCAAGGGGGAGTGTTATAAATATTTTATATTGATGGCCATTAAACCATGAGACACTTCATTTCCCTTTCATTTAATCCCTTATTTATGTTGAAGAGTTGAAAGGTTGTATGGATCTCTATATATATGGTTGAAAGCTTAATGAAATGAGATGGTTGTTGTGCCCTATATTTGGTGTTCTTCTTCTTCTTTCTCCCTTTACTTCGTTACATATACACGCATATACATACGAACCTCCGGACAATTATCGTGCAATCATCACGCGAGAACTAACGAGTTGATAGGACGAATTGCATCAGATATATATATAGTGTTTATCAGTGCACAATCTTAAATAACAAATGCAATTTTTTCTGGAAAAAAAAATGTTACAACCACAAATATACGGAGTATGAGATCGATTTGTTCATTTGCCTCCAATAAGACACTATTGCTTCAATAGGCAAATCATTACACAAATGAAAGAAAAATGAGAAGTCTCTTAATTAACAAGCCAACAGAAGCAAGAGCATCTACTCTACAAACGCTATTCAAACGAATATACTGAACTTTTTTTTGAAAACTAAAAAAGGAGAAATTTCATTAAAGTAAATGTCCAGTACAATGAGGAATACTAGAAAATCAACAAGAGGCGCCAATATGAGAATGTGCATCCCTCATAAGAGTGTGAGCAAGCTTGTTCAAAACGAAACATAATTTTCAGGAGAATTAGGGTGGGTGGGTGCCGCTGCCGGCGTCGAACTACTTCCGCCACCGCCTTTAGAATGTTTAGATGAACGGCAGCGATCAATCGGACTGCATCCTCGCCTATAAGGATTGCTTGGCTTGCCTGGCCGGCAATTATCTTTGTTTTCACCATAACAAGGAATTCCATCATTACCTAAAACTCCGTTAGTTATTCTAGTGGAATTTGTGCATGCAACTAAACAAATGAGACAAACAACAACAACATTAATGCCTCTTACGTTACCCATCCTCTCATCAACTCGATCTATAACAATGTTACGTTGGTATCAAATGCTTTTCATTTTTGATGTACAAGTGTATGCCAAGTGGATATATATATATATATATATATATATATATATATATATATATATATATATATATATATATATATATATATATAGTTTACCTCAAATGCGGCCGTGTCTTAATGTGCGGTTGGTGCGACTGCACCATTAGTATATAAAACGTATCAATAGTGTTAAAAAAACACACAACAATGAGATGTACAAATGCACCACAAAACACACCACACACGAAAAAAAAAAAAAAAAAAAAAAAAAAAAACACCAGACCTCCTCACACCTAATTGTACGTTTTCAAACACTGTGTGGTGTGTTTATGCATACCTTTTAGTGCGTTTTGTGGTGATGCGTATTTAATAGTGCGTTTTTGATGTATTAGTACTTTTTTTGTTGGTGTGCGTTTCCTAACACTATTGGTGCGTGTTTACAGAATTATTGGTGCGTCCACACTAACCGCATGTTAAGGCGCGACCACACTGGAACTAAGGTCTATATATTAGTCATCACTCGAGGAGTGGTAGGATCATTTGTTAAGGGTAGTATTAATTGCTTTTGGGTGTGGTTTTTAATTGCTAACGAGCGATATTATTGAATGTACTTTGTATTTGTGCACGATTAATCTACAGTTTCTAAAACCTGTCACCATTCTTGTAGAAGTAATAGTGATACCATTAAATTACCAGTTACTTAACTATTCAAATATGTCATATTGCTCATTAAAGCTAGATTTAAGTTGTCAATAACTTATTGAATGCGTTAGTGATAGTATTTATGCAAATTTAAATGAGTTAATATCTAAAATTGTCCTCCACTATACTAGTTTTTCTCAATTTTGTCCTAAACGACTTTAGTGACTTAATGTAGTCCCAGAATTTTGTATTTTTACTCAATTTAGTCCTAGACTTTTGTGTTTTTGCTCAATTTAGTCCCACATTTGTCATTCCGTCCATTTGTTGTTAAATAAATAGACAATTCAATAATTTTAATATTGTCATCGATCTCTTTACTCATAGACATGTGAAGTGCGAAATCCTTCTTTTATTTTACGAATTACTCCCAGAATCACTCCTAAACCTGCGAATATAAAATTTGATTCGTAGGTCTGGGAGTAATTTTGGGTGTAATTCGTACAAGAAAGAGGGATTTCTCACTTCGCAGGTTAAAAGTAAAGAGCTGTCAATAGTAATATTATTGAATTGTCCCTTTATTTAACACCAATTTGACGGAATAACAAACGGAGGACTAAATTGAGCAAAACACAAAAATCTAGGACTATATTAGGTCACCAAAGTCGTTTATGACGAAATTGAAAAAATTCACTATAATCGAGGACCATTTTGGGTATTAACTCAAATTTAAATTCCATTGTGAAATTTGTTTACAATACAACTGTGATTAATACTCATATTTATTATTACTATTAATATTTTTATATTTAAATTAATTAATTAACATTAATTTCCGAATTGAACGTTCTGTATGTTGTGCTAATCCTTGAAAGAAAAAGATAACTAATAAATTTGAACTTTTAGTCTTTAAGAAATATATATTACTCCGTAGTTTGTTTGGTCTATAATGATTCATAAAGGAAAGTGCTCTGTCTATTCCCATTTTTAACTCTCAATTTTTATTCTCACTACACACACAAAATCTTAATATAGACACTTGTATTGAGACTCATTAAAAAATGCTTATCAGAGTTCACCACATCTAGGAGTAAAATTGATGTTGTAAGATTTAAGAGTACATGTAGTAGAGAATGAGCTTTTCAACATTGGTCTTAATTATATAGGGAGTGTTTCACAAATAGCTGTTAGCTGATAATTAATAGTGGATTGACTTAACTAATAACCGTTAGCGGATTAGATTAGCAGATTTAATTAGCTGATTACATTAGCTAGTTGTAGATAAATGTTTGGTAAAGTAGTTATTAGGTTGTTATTAGTAGATTACATGCAAAATAATCCTTGAAGCTATAAGTGTATTATGTTATTTTAACCTTTAATAATAACAATAATAATAATAATAATAATAATAATAATTATTATTATTATTATTATTATTATTATTATTATCATTATTATTATTATTATTATTATTATTATAGAATTTATATAAAAAAAATAAAAATAAACATATGTTCACAGGCTTAGGAAGCCCATGAATACTAATCAGTAATCGCATGTTCCGTTGCTAATTACCTTTACGGTATTAGGAAACGGACTTATGAACCACGTCGACGAGCTCAAGAACCATGTTGCCTAGTATCATGAAGAGAAAATGAGAGTAAAGAGACTATTGAACCCGTCTACACAGTTTCGTTTAAAAAAAAAAAAACAAAAAAACAAAAAAAATATTATCGAGAGTGTTTTGGAGAAAATAATTTATTTTCTCAAAAAGCTAATTGAAAAAACTGTTTTGAGTAGCTTTTCGAATTTTAGTGTTTTGGAGCAATAATGCCTGTTACAAAAAAAACTGATTAACCAAACACGCGTATTGGCTATTTGGCCATGTAAAATAGCTAAGAGTAGTTAAACAAGCCAAAATTTTAGTATATTAGATAATCAATTTTTCATTCATTCATTATACATTTTGAAGGTATAATTTATTAAATTGTCATTTTTTTTTTGTCTTATTTAAAAAAATCTGAATCCACTTTGACCCGTCCCAAATTAAAATTAGATCCTATTAATATTTTTACCACAAAATAAATAATCACTCACGTGCAATTTTTATTAATACTTTAAACATCTCCAACGGCAACAATCTTGGTCAACGGCGGAAGATCCCCGGTGAAGATGTGGATGATTACAAATCCCCGGTCGGCATTGGTGGAATTGAAAATTCAATGCAAGGTTAGAGATTTGAAGTAATAGAAATATAAATTGAAGGGAAAATTGCACCTTTAGTCCCTAAGTTTTAACCAAGTTTCGATTTGGTCCCTAAGATATGAACGTATCTGAGTTTAGTCCCTCAGTTATTTGCGAAGTGGCGTGTTTAGTCCCCGGTGTTAAAATTCTGTCAACACTTAACTGAAAACTTACAAGTAAATTAATAATTGAAGGGTAAAATTGGAATTTCAAATTATAATCATTTCTTATATCCAAACCCTCACACAACCTCATTCATTTCTTCTTTCTTCTACAATCTAAGGTGTTCTTCTTCCCTAAATTTTGAAATCTGAAATTCTTCTTCCCCAAGTTATGTTTGATTTAAATTAAATTTTCTTTCGAGTTGAATTAAAATATACTCTCAATTGAAAGTAGAAATGAATAAAGATAAAGAAGTACATATAATACATATGTATACTGCGAAATGAAGTAGGACAATTCCAATTTATACCAAAAATATTTATATTAATAGATGTTTAGCACAAGTTATAGCTACAATGATCAATCTTTTACATGTTCAACTTACCTTTCCAATAAAACATGGTCAGCACATGTTATACCTACACTAGATTATATTTGACACGTTATACTGACATTTCAAACAAAAGCAATGACAACACCCTAGTTTGATATACAAAAGACCACAAAAAGAAGTTCATCACTGTCAACCATTCAGTTTGATACACAAAACACCACAAAACGAGGATCATCACAGATTCCTGACAAATCCATCCTACTTCTTTCTCAGTTTTTGCTTGGGGTGGAGTTGTTTCCTACTTTTCTTTGTAGTTGATGTACTTGCTTTTTCTGTGCTCCGAGTATCAAGTGGGGCAGCTTGAGATGTCCTTATAGCCTATTTAATCAAGTAGACATATTAGATGACATATTTAATGTATTTAATGTACTATTCATATCTCAACTAACCATTTCTACCGGTTGTTGCACACCGGAATCCACATTCATATTTTTTTGTACATTCAAGGGATGCACACTGGAGTCCATATCTACAGGCTGTTTTCACAGTTGATGAATTAGTACGAGTGTACGACTTAAACAATTTGAAACTTATTATGTATTAAAAATGTACCTGTTCTTGTTGCTGCTGCTGGTTAAACCCTTCAACAGTAGATATAGTTGTATTCTATAACAAATATACATAATAATTGTTAGAAAAAAAAATATTAGCAGTATATTGAAAAAAACAAAGTGAATTCTTATATTACCTCTTTGGATGCCTTGCATCTTCTCTTGTTGTGTCCATGTTGGCCACAAAGTCCACACTTTTTCTTTTCTCCTATCCTTCCAAGTTTAGTCGGCACATGTTCCTTCTCAATAGGATCTTTCCTTCTTAACTTTTTAGGTCTTCCAGGCTGGGGCTTATATTTGGGAGGCAAGGGTGGTGGTGCTCCTGTTTTTATCCATTGATCTGAAGATGAGATGGGCAGAATAGCTGGTTCATAACTCTTCAAATAAGCCTCCACTGAATAAAACCAATTTGTATACTCTATAGGATCTTGACCATTTTCTGAAATTGCAGAAATTGCATGTACACAAGGAATGCCTGTCAAGTCCCATCTTCTACATGAACAAGAACAAGTGGTTAAGTGCACCCAAAACAACTTCAAATCATCATCCTCAACCTGCCACCATTCGTCATTTGACTTATAAGAAATGTAGCCACCTATTTTCTCCTTGTTTTGTTCAATGCTTTTTACAATCTTTGGACAAATCTTCATAGGATTGTTCCTCATCTTATCCCTATTACGTTGCATTCTTTTCATAAGATATATTCTTAAACACTCCACCATGGTCATAATGTGTTTGTCTCTAGCATTCAAGATTGAAGAATTGAAGGACTCACACAAATTGTTCAAGAACATGTCGGACTTAGTAGATGTGTCAAAGAAAGCTCGACAGAAATGGTGTGGAGACCTTTCACTAACCCACACAGCTGCCTTTGGATTTAACACTTGCATTGCCTCAATGTGCTGCTTAAATTTTGGTTCTGTAGTGGCTTTGCAAGCTGCCCAGAATACTCTCTTAAATACCTGACCCCCAAATCCATCTTTGGTGAAATTCTGGTGAAGATGTCTTACACAATTCCTATGTGCAACATTAGGTAATACCTCTTCAACAGCTTTAACCAATCCTTTTTGCTTGTCAGATATGAATGTCCAGCCATAAGGGTTACTATGAATTTCCAAATCAGATGCAAGGAATTGAAGAAACCATGTCCATGTCTCTTTTGTTTCACCTTCTACAACTGCAAATGCTATTGGAAACATGCAATTGTTAGCATCTACTCCTACTGCAGCTAGAAGTTGTCCTCCTTTTTGGAACCCCTTCAAATGACAACCATCAATTCCTATCAATTGCCTACATCCAGCCAAAAACCCTTGTTTACATGCTGTAAAACAGACATATAATCTAAGGAATCTGCACCTACTACCTTCCCTATCAGTTGTGTCTAACTTCATCTTAACAGTTGAACCCGGATTGCTTCTTCTAAGCTCTTCACAATAATCCCATAACATGTTAAATTGTTCTGCTTGCGTTCCAATTAATGATTCCTTGGCATTTCTCCTTGCTCTATAAGATTGATACTTAGACACATTACATCTAAATGTCCTTTTCACTTTCCTTTGGAATTCCTTCCTACCCCAATTTTCATTATCTTTAAATTCCTCCTTATAATACTTAGACAAAAACCTTGAAGTTATAGTTTTGTTCTTTTGTTGTGCTCCACAAGTATGTTTACCAAATGACTTTATGGTAAATGGACAACTTGGGTTACTCCTTGAAGCAAAAATGACCCAATTGCAATGGTTTACTCTACATTTTGCTTGCACTCTCCTCTTGTCATTCTTGGTGAACTTAACTGATTTTTTGTTCACTGCTTCATGCACTTCTACAACCCATTTAAATTGAGAATTGCTACTAAAAATCATGCCAACTTTGTAGTTAAAATCATGCTTTTTCTCATCTCCTTCCCTATAAACCAACAAATTATTTTCACCTTCAATATCTGAGCTTGAACCAATGCTTCTAAGCTCATCTTCTGATTCCACCCAATCTTTCTCCCCTTCTAGATCAATTTGATTTAATCCAACAGTAAGAATATTAGGTGTGGATGAATTGCCAACATCAAGATTTTGATTTAATCCAACAGTAAGAATATTAGGTGTGGATGAATTGCCAACATCAAGATTTTGCTCATCATCACTACCATCATCCATAGACTCTGAACACTCTTTCCCCACAGAAGCTGATATCTCAGTTTCACTCCCTTTCACTAGTTCATCTGCATTTTTAATCAATTCTAATAGTGATACATACAAATTAAAGCTGTAATTTATCCCTAGGTAGAAAATAGCATCAAACATTTTGCATGTTCAGTAGAGTTATTTTAGGATTTGAGTACACATCCTTGTCACTTGAGATTCATACCAACTGCTAAGATTCTTTAACTCATAAATTTTGCTAGATAACATAGCCAACTAGACATCTTAACCATAGATGAGACAAAGAGTGAAAGGATGCTACATTGACAGAATTTGGGAAAGATCTTGAAATCTATCTATTATGTTTGACAGATTAGGCTAACTTCTCCATCTTTAATGGCAATTATATTGTATAGAAGAGCTATGTGGATGGGTTCAAATAAGTATGCTAATTTAACTCAGACATAGACCCTAGCACATTCGCACAACAATAAAAAAAACAGTTTTAGCAGACATACATACATGGCTTTACAGACAAAAACCACTTTAGTAGTAAAATAATAGTCATTCCTCCTCACATGGACCACACATTCACATAAATACAAAAACTGAAACATGGACCCAGCACATTCGCACATCAAAAAACACAAAAACTCAAAAGTTATTAAACTCTGATTTCACAAAAACACTTACAAGTGGGTGGTTGATTTGTGCCCAACAAAATTGTAGAAGTCATTGTAGTGTAGGATTTGTTCTCCTTCTAACCTGCGAAGTACGCTTTCGTCCCCTGCTTAAGCTTCGAATTCTTCTTTCTTACATTGCAATTAGGTTTCGAAATTTGGGGGAAGGGGAAGGGGAAGGGCGCTGACTATATGTTGTCAAATTGGAAAATACTTCGTATGTTTTATTTTGGGGGGAAATGGGGAATGGGTTCTAATAAATAAAAATGGGTAATAAGTTATTTAATTATTATTTTACTTTTTTACCCCTTAAATTAACACTGTCAACAAAACATTAACGGCAAGGATCAAAAACGCCACTTAACTCATAACTGAGGGACTAAAAATGGATACGGTCATAACTCACGGACTGAGTCATCACTATGATAATAACTTAGGGACTAAATATGCCATTTTCTCTAAATTGAATAAATAATGTAGATTGACTGAGATATATAGTATATTAATATTTTGTGCTTTTACAATTAACAAAGCTGGAATAGCTCAGTTGGTTAGAGCGTGTGGCTGTTAACCACAAGGTCGGAGGTTTCAAGCCCTCTTTCTAGCGTTAGTAATTTTTCCTTCACAAGTCTCATGCATGGCAGCAGGATATATTTTTATTCAGAAGTTAATTCTACATTTAATTGTTTTATTCTACAAAGTTGCTACATTTAATTGTTTTATTCTACAAAGTTGGTGTTAAATGTTAGGATAAAAATCTAATAGTTAAGATTATATTATGTTTTTATACTTCCATAAAAACTATCATCATATCATGTTTCGTTGATAAAATATTTAATTTAACCCTCCAACTTTCTGCTCAACACTACATATTAAATTTGAAGAGAAATATTCACACATTAAACTAAATATAGGACAATTATTATATTCAATTTAAATCTCTAAACCAACTACCCCACCCTTGTGTGCACCTCACTGTCTTAATTCTTAATAGTCACTCAAACAAAAGTATTGTGACATTCCCCCCACCCCCCCCCCTCCCCCCCCCCCCCTTCCCCCAATTTTAAAAACCGAATTAAATTATTAAAATTTAATTACAAATTTTTTGGTTCCCCTGTAATGAGATATGACTTGATAACAATAGGCAGGAGGAAAAAAAGAAAAGAAAAATGTGATATTAAAAGAAGGTTTTTATATTAGGAACTTTTAGGGTTGGCAATCTGTCACCCAAGGGATGGAATAAAAAAAAAAAAAAAAAGTTATAATTTATGCTCCTCTATAATATACCAATTACCAATTACCAATTATCAATGTCATTCCTAAATTATTAGTAGTGTAAATATTACCTATCAGTTTTCAAAATGGTACATATATTCCCCACTTAAGTGTAAATGCTGCTCCTCAATTTTTAAAACGGTACATATATTGTCCCTCCTATACCATACGGGAGGGACAAAAAGTGAGCATAACCAACACTTAGGAACGAATTCTACAATTACCCAATTACTTAGGGACAAAAAGTGTAATTTTTCCAATATTATATTTATAAAAAATTGAAATCTAGAGACGGATATATTAGTAGGTTGCTCTAATACTAATTATTATGACGCTTATCACTACACCATAAACTATAGCTAATATCGAATGCATAACTTTATTTCCTATACTTGCATAACAGTCAACAACGCCACATTTCAATGTCAGGATGCTAGACTCCGTCTCCAAATCTCAACCTAATAATATTCCCATAAAAAATAAAAAATAAAACACCAATTTTATTAATCAAATAATATAATGTTTACCCGTGCACATTCTTGACTAATGAATGCATTAAAAATAATAATAAATAAATAAATAAAAGTGGGTTACAACCACAAATGTATGAGATTTGTTCATTTGCCTACTATTGCTTCAATAGGCAAATTATTACACAAATTAAAATAAAACATACTTTTGAGGAGAATTATTAGGGTGGGTGGGTGGGTGGCACCGCTGCTTGCCGGCGTCGAACTACATACTTCGCCACCGCCGGCCTTCAAAACTTTCCGATCAATCATCCTCCGGAACGACAACGATTAATGTCACTGCATCCTCGCGTGTAATGATTGGCTGGCTCGCCTGGTTTGCAATTCTCTTTGTTTTTAGGACTACAAGGAATTTTATCTTTAGCTAAAACGTCGTTGCTTATTTGAGTGGAATTTGTGCATGCAACTAAACAAATGAGACAAATTAAACAACAACAAAAACAACATTAATGCCTCTTACGTTACCCATCCTCACATCAACTGGATCTATAACAATATATTGTTGGTATCAAATGCTTGTCATTTTATATATATATATATATATATATTGTTGGAAAACAAACCATTGAATAAAGATTATTTTTGCTTAAGTTTCGGATTTGTCCGAATCAGTCTTACTTCCTCCTTGTCTATACCCACGAAATTAGCGCAGATGTATGTGTGGTCAGCAAGGAGAAATTAGTTAAATTGCATTCTCCATCTTGGCACAAGGACACACCATTATAGCCTCTTCTTCATTCATTCATTTATAGCTTCGTATTTTTCTGTCTGCATAATGTTAGAAATAATTATTTCCTAACAATGATTTATATAATAAAGGTTGTAATTCCATAAGGTACTCACGTTGATGATTAGTGATGTGTAGAGGCGGAATTACTGGGTGAAATTCCCTCCCTCTCATTCTGTTAAAATTTAAGTTTATAAGGGTTAAAAAGATGTGTAATGGATAAGGTTATGGGTTTCACAATCCTAAAGGGATTTCTATTCCTAAAAGGAGGTCACATTCCTAAAGGGATTTCTATATTCCTAAAGGAGGTTCCCCATTCCTCTTGAAAGAGGGTTTCTTATCACATCTATAAATACCCAGGAAAACTCTAGGGATCTTAACGTTTTCAAATCTCTAAGTTTTCTAGTCTCCGTATCATCAGGATGTGAATAAGGTATACGGATCAGAGAGGTGAAGCATTATATTCTTGATTCATTCAATTTAGAGATTACATCTTCAATGGAACCAAGTAAGTCCTATCTTTCCTATTTAATTAAAAGTCCATGATCATGAACATTGTTTAGTTGATTGATTTGATTTACATGCGATCATTGTTAATTGTGCTTCCGCATTTAAGTTATAGCGCATAAAGGATTATTTAACATTTGGTATCAGAGCCTGCTTGTAAATTGATTAATCACTAAAATTAGGGTTCATGATATTTGGGGATTTTTAATTTTAAGGTTTAATTGTTTATCACTGTCGTATGGTTTGTCTTTGATGATAAAACTTATTATACGGATAATGTACATGGCTTAATTAATATGGATGTGTTCGTTGATGATTGACAGTACGTATGGCTTAACTAATGTATGTTTTACGTGGAATTCGTATGCCGTAGTTAATTGTTCTGTCTTCATCCATTAACAAATATATATGTTGTTTGTATGTACTGTTTATATATATATATATATATATATATATATATATATATATATATATGTATGTATTAATTGGCATGTTATTGGAACCAATTATGTACGTACAATTAGGACATATCATGCATATTTGCTTTTGTTTCCTTCGCTGATGACATCTGGAAATCTGGGGTCAAATTGTTATATGCGTACTGTGTATAAGTACTGTATATAACGCTAAATTTTGTATTGATTCAACATCAACATATACAGTTTTATATGTTATGTGATTTCTCTGTGTTAAATCATCAATTATATGTTATAAGAGAACGACATATAAATTGAAGTTTATTTTGTTTGGACAATTAAATTGAGTCTATTTGGGTTTATTTAAAGTATTATGGAGTCACTTTAAATTTTAGGCTCATTTAATTTGTGTTTATATTTAAGTCTATTTGGGTTATTTAAAGTATTATGGATTTGTTTTAAATTCTAGGCTCATTTAATTTGAGTTTATATTTGAGCCGTTTGGTTTATTTAAGGCATTAAGGACTTGCTTTAAATTAAAGGCTCATTTGGGATCAATTATGGTTGGAGGTTGTATCCATTATTAATTTATATATATGTTTATAAATGAATTATTAGCATAAAGCGAGTGCGTTAGTCGCCAAAGCGGCCCACTCAAAGTAATAGCTAATAATCATTTATGTTTATGTTTAGAGCATATATATAAATCAAGGTTTACTTACATAAATGAGTTATTAGCATAAGGCGAGTGCGTTAGTCGCCAAAGCGGCCCACTCATGGTAATAGCTAAATGATCATTTATATTTATGTTACAAAATAAATTAAAGTTTATTCACATAAATAAATTATTAGCATAAGGCGAGTGCGTTAGTCACCAAAGTGGCCCACTCAAGGAAATAGCTAAATAATTATTTATGTTTACAAATGTTTATCGTACACAGGTATTTTGCATATATCATTGAATGACACTAAAAGATTGACAAACATTTGTGATCATTAACACATGGTTCTAGCGGTTGCCCAAAGGTAGATCAGACATGTGATTAATGACAATTTAGGAGATTATGATTCTTGTTTTGTTAATATGTAGTGCATGTCCAAAGATGGCCTATATATTAAATTGAAACTTGATGAATAGTCTCATTCAAGTATGTGTGAATGATGCATGTCGGTAAATTGACATTGTATTTAAATTTGACCCAAAGGCGGATTCAAATGCAAACTTAAGGTCTATAAATTATAGTTTGAATAAAGGTTTGTTACTCAAAGTAATTGATTGTGAGATAAATGTTTGCAGTGAACACTATCATATCACGCTATAAGGTGACAGTTTTAATGTCAGTGATAATAGCAGCAAATCTAAAAGTAGTAAAGAAGGGCAAGCATCCTATGAAGGTGCAAGGTGATGTTCAGGAAGTGCAGAAATGCTATTCTGTAACAAACCTGGGCACAAGAAGGCTGAATGCCTGAAGAGGAAAGCTTGGATGGAAATAAAAGTATACATTCAGTTTCAGTATGCTTTGAATCCAATCTTGTTAAGGTTCCTTCTAATACTTGGTGGTTAGGCACTGGTGCTACAACACATGTTTATAACATTAAGCAGGATTTTTGATGTTTCAACCTCATAGGGAAAATGAAAAGTGTCTTTTCATGGGAACGTGATGAAAGCTAGAATTAAAGGTATTGGAACTTACAGAATTAAGCTGGATACAGGTTTTTGCCTTGATCTTGAGAATTGTCTGTATGTTCCAAATTGTTCTAGAAATCTTGTTTCAACAGCTAGGTTGGAACCATTGAGTTTTTACTTTAAGATTGGAAACAAATGTTTGTATCAACAAAAACCTTTATGGTTCTGGTGTTTTGATGGATACACTATACTGTTTCAATCTTAATGATGACTTTGTTAATTCCTTGTTTAATGTGATGTTTGTGTTAACAGGAGTGCGCCAAAAGAATCTTCAGCTGACTTGTGGCATAAAAGGCTTAGTCATATATCCAAAGAAAGGAGATTGGGACTTATTAAAGTTGGAATTTTGTCTCAATTGGATTTTACTGACTGGAATGGTGCATGTGTCGATTGCATAAAGGTAAAGCAAGTCAGACATGTATCAGTACACTCAGCCACAAGAAGCTCATGATTACTTGATTTAATACATACAGATACCTGTGGTCTCTTTTGATGATTCGTCTTGGAGCGGTGATAAATACTTTATTACCTTTATTGATGATCATTCTGGGTACTGTTACATCTATTTACTGCGTGAAAGATCTCAGTCTGTGGATGTCCTAGAAACATTCATATTGGAAGTTGAGAGGCAGTTAAATAGAAAGGTAAAGACAATTAGATCATATAAAGGTGATGAGTATTATGGGAAAACATCAAAAGTTGGGCAAATTCCTGACCCATTTAATGAAATTCCTCGAATCTAAGGGCATTTTGTGCATAATACACAATGCTAGGCACACCACATCAAAATGGTGTGAAAGAAATGTGAAATCGTACTCTACGGGATATGGTTAGGAGTAAGGTCAATAACTGTATATTGTTTGTTTCATTGTGGATATATGCATTAAAGACAACAGCATACTTACTCAATAGGGTTCCTAGTAAGGTTGTTTTTTAAAACACCTTATGAACTGTGGACAAGAAGGAAACCTAGTTTGAGGCATCTTCACATTTGGGGCTGTCAAGCTGGAGTGAGGATATATAATCCACATGAAAATAAATTGGAATCCAGAACCATTAATGGTTATTTCATTGGATATCCAGAAAGGTCTAAAGGGTACATGTTTATTGTTCTAATCATAAGTACGAGGATTGTTGAGTCTGGTGATGCTCGCTTCATTTAAAATGGCGAAGTCAGTGAGAGTGTGGGAGCTCGTAATGTTGAGATTAAGGAGTCATTGATGGTACCAGATTCATCAAGTGATCCTTTTTTTTTCCTGTTGTTGTTCCTATTGCTGCAATGCAGTGTAGCCTAATGGAAATACTTTGGAACAACAGCAACTAGATGCTCAAATTCCACATGAGGAAGCTATTGTAAATGAAGATGAGGTTGAAACTCAAGATGATGATCAAGTGCAATCTCAGCAGGAAGTGGCATTAAGGAGATCTACTAGATAGAAAAGATCAGTCATTCCTGATGACTATTATGCACTTGAGAATGAAAGTGACTTGAGCATTGATAATTATCCAGTCTCATTTAACCAAGCCATACAGGATAATAATTCTCCTTGAGAATTATTTTGGCTTTGGTGGCTCATTGTGTTCTTGAGCTCCGCCAAATGGTTGTTAAAATTGCCTTTCTGAATGGAAAATTAAAAGGGGAAGTGTACATGGATCAACCGCAAGGTTTCATGACCACATGAAAGGAAAATCTGGTATGTAGATTGAAGATGTCGATCTGTGGATTAAAACATGCTTATAGACAATGGTACTTGAAATTGTCATTTGGTTTTGTAGAGATCACTGTTGATCGGTGTATCCACATAAAGGTTTAATGGAAGCAAGTTTGTAATCCTAGTATTACATGTTGACGACATTCTTCTTGCTGCTAATAATAAAAGGGATGTTGCGTGATGTTAAGGAATATCTTTCTAAGAACTTTGAAATGAAGGATATGGGTGTGACTTCATATGTGATTGGAATAAGAAATATTCTGTGATAGATCACATGGGATTTTAGGTTTATCCTAGAAGACTCACATTAACAAAGTTTTAGAAAGATATAAACTAGAAAACTGCAAAAGAGGGTCCTGTAATACTTACAAGGCACTGAGGATCACATGCTCACCTATAAAAGGAACGAATAACCTGGAGGTTATAGGTTATTCGGATTCAGACTATGCCGGATGTTTGGATACCCAAAAATCCACATTCGAATATATTTTTCCACTTGCTCATGGAGCAATATCTTGGATGAGTGTGAAGGAGCCTGTCATTGCTACTTCCACTATAAAGGCAGAATTTGTAGCATGCTTTGAGGCTACAATTCAATCACCATAGCTGCGTAATTCCATTTATGGTTTGGGCATTGTCGACACTATAGCCAAACCATTGAGGTTTCATTGTGATAATACGGCAGCTATGTTCTTCTCAAAGAACGACAGATATACTAGTGGTGCCAAGCACATGGGTTTGAAATTTCTGTCTGTTAAGGAGAAGGTACAAAATCAAAAGAGTATCAATAGTGCACATTGGCACCGATCTTATGATCACGGATCCGTTGACTAAGGGATTGGCGCCCATGACCTTCATTGGCCATGTTGGGAGGATGGGCATACTGGTAAAGTCCTTGTATAACGGTTAACTCTGCCATACATGTATGGATTTATGTTTGATAGCACATCAGGTTGATGATACTCTTAGATATCTATTCAGGTTTTGATTTTGTTATGGTTGATGTTAATCACTTATTTATGCATAATTCAGAAGTGATAACAATGGTCTTGTTTAAGACATAAGGAATAAGGTACTTTCGAATTTTACCTTATTATTATGGTTCGAATTCTTATTAACTGTGATACATGGAAGGGAACGGGACGCTATGTCAGGCCTGTAACCGCCATGATTCGGTTAATAAAGTTCGATTAGGTGGTGACTTTTACATTTTCATATTAAGTGAGCTCAAATTAAGGATTGAAAATTGTAAAGTCACGCATATATGAATCAAGTGGGAGATTGTTAGAAATAATTTATTACTAACGTTGATTCATATAATTAAGGTGTCATGCTCATATGAATCAGTGGGAGACTGTTAGAAATAATTATTTCCTAACAATGATTTATATAATAAAGGTTGTAATTCCATAAGGTACTCACGTTGATGATTAGTGATGTGTAAATGCGGAATTACTGGGTGAAATTCCCTCCCTCTCATTCTGTTAAAATTTAAGTTTATAAGGGTTAAAAAGATGTGTAATGGATAAGGTTATGGGTTTCACAATCCTAAAGGGATTTCTATTCCTAAAAGGAGGTCACATTCCTAAAGGGATTTCTATATTCCTAAAGGAGGTTCCCCATTCCTCTTGAAAGAGGGTTTCTTATCACATCTATAAATACCCAGGAAAACTCTAGGGATCTTAACGTTTTCAAATCTCTAAGTTTTCTAGTCTCCGTATCATCAGGATGTGAATAAGGTATACGGATCAGAGAGGTGAAGCATTATATTCTTGATTCATTCAATTTAGAGATTACATCTTCAATGGAACCAAGTAAGTCCTATCTTTCCTATTTAATTAAAAGTCCATGATCATGAACATTGTTTAGTTGATTGATTTGATTTACATGCGATCATTGTTAATTGTGCTTCCGCATTTAAGTTATAGCGCATAAAGGATTATTTAACACATAACACTCTACATTATTGATTTGTGTAGCCCGTCCAAAGCGTGCCGCAACTGTCACCGGAAAATTTACGCAGAGTTCTGTTCCTATCCATTTTGAATTTCTGTTCGTGTTTCGTCGTCGCACACTATCTTCCTCTTCAGACTTCACGTTGGCATTGTTACAACTTAAATTGTATAATATATATAAATCTACAAATCTAATAAGAGTCAATAATGTTAGGCCATTAACTGGAACAAAAAAATGTCGATAGTAGTTGTTTCTTAAAATGAATGGTTCATATTATTTTGATTTTTGTATTTTTTTTTAATAATTTTCCTTATTTACCCTCTATTATATTATTTTCTTCGCTTAAATAACCTTAAAATCTATTAGTATAAACTTTAGTAACGGAATATTCCGTTAACTATTTATTATTTTTAACATACTCATTAATTTATAAAAGAAAGGTCTTAGGTTCGAACTCCATCACAATTAGAGTTGACATAATTCTTAAAGATATATTATAAATATGTTAAAATGTATTAAAAATATATATAATATAAAATTTTAACATAAAATTTGGTCAAATAATTAGTCCGACTAAATACATAGCATTCAAAGTTGAGCATCAAAGATTATAAATCATGAACTTTAAAATCATTTTATTTTCTTGATTTTTTTTAAAGAAAAAAAAAACAAATTTAGGTCAAGTTTTTTATTTTTTTATTTTTTTTTTATTTTTTTTATGTTTAATTAATCTACTTTTGATTATTTAGAACGAAACTTAATCAGAACATCCTACTAGCTCCAATTGAACAAGTTTACACATCAGAACTTGATCAATGCATGAAAAATTCTAAAGAAATTTGTAAGTTAATTTTTACTATATCATTATAACAATATTTATTGTAACCATATATTTTGAATTATTTATTATCATCCTCTATTGACAACAATTGTAGCAATTGTCATTGACAAACTATCAAAAAATTGTCTCAACAAGGAATGAAAATTTTAAAAAAATCACTGATTTCATTATTATTGATGAAAAGTAGGTACAACCCTTTATTACTCTTATTAAATTAAAAAACTTAATAGCTACAACCAAAATAATACATATGCATTTAATTAATTTAGAATTAGATGTCTATAATGCTTTATTTTAAAAAAATTATTCATTATAAAAAAATTTAAAAGAAATTTAATTTCATTAGATATATTATCTTTAATTTATTTTCTACAATTCAAAGATTCCTTACCTTCAAATTATTAATTTATTATATTCACTACATTGTCCATTGTCTTCTTTTTACATTACCGTGTAATTAAATATCAAAGTTATAATACAAAACATGTTATATATATTTATTTACTAAGTATTTTATAAATTATAATATTAATATTTTGTTCAATACTTTCATATGATAACCTACCACACACATCTCACAACACATAAAACATGTAGGGGGAAAACTACCACTACTAAATATCAATAGGTGTTTGTAAGATAAATAGTTCATATTACAACTAAGATCTCAGTCATATACACAGCAAGGCAATTCTAAAGCTTCATACACCATAATCTCATTGCATGATGAATCCCTCTATGCTGCCACCAGTAACCTAATTACACATGACACACTACGATTTAAAAAAAAAAAAAAAAAAAAAAAAAAAAGCATGTACTGAAGATGAAATCAATGACAATGCTACCCAAAAGAGGATTAAGAAGAATTAGAGAAATTTAAACCAAAAATAGTATTTATTTAGACTATCGCTTTAAGACTAAGTATTTAGACTAGTGTGATTACGAAGTTGCAAACATTTATTTTAGTGACAATTATAATCAATCTATCATATATTATCTTGAATTTATATACTTTAAATTACTGATTTAAATAAACAAATTCAACATTTATTTCCCTATGCATAAACATCTCTTATATAAATATTGCATTGATATACTTTGAAATACTTATTTAAAAATAATTATTGGGTACTTATTTAAAAATAATTATTGGGCATTATCACATTCGCGCAAAGCGCGTATAAAAACTAGTTCTACAATAAAAATGAAAAGCGGTGAAATAATTAAATCAAGTAGTGTAGTTTAACTATTTGTGCTTCAGTAGATTGAGAAAGTATGTATGAATAAATACTACAATGTAACAGAGTCAGTAGTACTAAAAAAAAAAAACAAAGAAGTAGTGTAGTTTGAAATGAATCAAAATTCAAAAAGAAAAATAAAATAAGAATTGAAACAATGAAAATAACTTTTAAATCCTGCAATTATAAATACTACTATATTATTAACTAAAAATAATAATTGAGCCCCTTAATTGTGCAAGTCTAGTGCAAACGGAGATTAGTTTGAGTATTGTACTGTTTAGTGAATTTATAGGTCAAAGTACCTATAAAGTCCTTGTACTATAGTGTTTTGTTTAATTTAGTCCTTGTACCTTTATTCTGTTCAATTTAGTCCCTCTATTTTAAAAAGTGGTGAAACTAAGGACAATTGTTCAAATCTCATTAAAAATATGGTTTTAATTATTTATTTTAGACATACTAATTTAATATATTGGTGGTAAAAATAACTAATTTTAAATATTTATAAAGAAATATATGAGTAAGAATATAAATATTGTCAGCGCCACGTAACCTAAGTTAGCTGTAATATTAACACCATTAACTATTGTCCTTAATTACACCAATTTTTAAAGTACAGGGACTAAACTGAACAAAATAAATGTATAAGGACTAAATTGAACAAAACGCTATAGTACAGGGACCTCGTAGGTACTTTGACCGAATTTATATCATGGACCATGTTCCAAATACTATTATGGACCTTGAATCGAAACGACGAGGTATAGAATTCATACTCGTAAGGTAAAAATTTCATAACACAAGACACATAAAATCACAACACAAGACACATACACATGTTATATATTTCTTACTTATTTTTCAAATATAATTTAAGTACATAATTTGAGTTCATAGACACGAAATTTCACAACACAAGACACATAAATTCATTAACATAAGACACAAGACACAATTACTAATTTGCTTCATGTATATAAGTACAGAATTTCATAACACAAGACACAAAAACTCACAACTTAAGACACATACACATATATCACGGTTCACAGTGCACTGTGAACCTGGTCCATAAATGAAATTTCCAAGATGGAGGAGTGAGGACAAGGATGGAGGTGCTTGGTTGTTGGTTGTTTCCTCTCTGTCTCGATCTCATGTACTCACTCCATCTTATCATCAGATCAATTTCATTAGCTAATTAATATGCCTCTATAAACACTCTCCAGGCAGGGCTTTCTTCTTCATCAGCAGCTGCATATATTACTGTGTGTATTAGCATGTTCACTCATTTCCTTCGACTTCAGTTTTCAGCTTTAATTTTCCTTCTATATCTAAAAGTTACGAGTTTGATTCATCTCAATATCAATCCTTTCCGTTGAACTCGTGGCATGCATAGGGTAGCTAATAAGTTTTGGGGTTTTTATCATGATGTATTGTTATGTTAGAAATTAGAATAGAGGATATAGGCATGTGGAGCTTGAAAGTAACTTTTAGTAGCCATTGAGAAGATCTCACAAGGAGAAAATGATATATATGGACTCCTATATGAATATCATTAGTGTCATTCGTGAGTTGATTAATATGGAGATCTGAGACTAGAATTGTAGTATATGGCATATCCGCATATCCATAAAGAGGAAAATTAAACATTTCTATGGATTGGATGATAACACATTTGATGGGAGAATTATACTGATGGGGGAAAATTTTGGTCTATGAGTTATAGAGAAGTCACTAGATAATTGTATTGCTTTTAGCAGTAATTGTGTTGATGTGACTAAACCACACTTTATTTAATTTTTATTTTCTTTCATTCTTTTTCTTTATCTCATTATAGAATTTTTTTTTTTAAAAAAAAACGATTAGTTTTAAATTGTCAGGAAGAATGTTTTTTTTTTCTTTTAAGATTTTGATGATGTTAATATTTGCAAAGATAAGCAAGTTAGAACCCTTAATTTTTTGTTGCAAGTATTGCGTTGATAGTATAATTTGTAAAAGCCAAAATGAGTTCTACTACATAGACTCCCAAATCTTACTCTATAAATTTTACTTCCTGATGTGACGGACATTGATAAGTTACTTTTTTTTACGTGGGTCACATATAAATGTCTACACGAAAATTTTGTGTGTGTGAGAGTATAAAATTGGAACATAGACATAATATTTTCCAGCCAAAATAGAGTTAGTGTATTTGTTCATTATTCTTTCAACAGATCTTATCAAGAAGAACTTATGATTGCAACAGATCTTTTCAGCAGAAGTCATTTGGCATATCCTACTACCTATTGGCTATAGCCAAGCACTGGTTCTAGCATAACTTCATAGATTAACCATAAGATCTATTCAATAGAAAATATATCAAACTTGGCTTAAGAAATAGTACAAAACAAGCTACAATTAAACTTTTGACAAATTTAAAACTTCCACTACAAAAATAGATAATTTCTTTTTAATTAAAATTTTATTAAAATCCATTCAAACTTTTACTTGCTCATATCAACTTGGCTTAACAAATAGTCGGATCGACTTCCCTTGCTGCCATCTCCACCATACAGCGTCTGCCTTCACCATTTTCTCCTCCATCTCCATCGCTACCGGTCGTTACTCCATTATTTCTGCACTGTTGTTTCCTTTTACGTTGTTTTACTAGTTTAATTTTGTTTGCAGTTTGTGTTTTTCCTCTCGTTGTTTTGACGAGTTTCTTCCTCTCGTTTACTTGGCGAGTTCTTCTTCATAAAGCATTAAACGATAAAACTGGTCATGGCGTATGTGAATCTCATCCTGGGTGACAAACATGACAATGAAAAAGAGACTCCTCTGAACTATGATATGCAGTTCAGCCCGATGAAGATATTGTCAATGAATAAAAGAATGGAAATATATACTCAGGTGGTGTGCAAGACTATTCAACTTGTGTTAGTCTTGGGTACGTTTGACCACATCATTAAAGAAGCTTTAAGTTCCTCCAAAGAATTCAGCTTCAAATTTATGAAACAGTCTGAGAATCAAGTTTTTTGTAGCATTGCTAGGGAAATTGTTTCTATATCTGACGGTAAGGAATGTTTAACCATTCCATGAATCTTTGTAAACGTTTCAACCTATGATTAATGAATTAGTATCTTTATTTTAAAAAAATAATAATAATAAAAAATAAGATCATAACATATATACCCTCAACAAAATGAAACTGCCAAGATGATCTGGATGTGAGGACAAGGATGCATGCATAAGCTGGTTGGTTGTTTCCTATCCAACTACTCATGTTTTCTTTCTCTCTCTCATGCATGCAACTTAATTACTCCACCTTATCAATTTTGTTATTGCAACAAATAGCTAATTACCCAATGACAAATGATAATTATACATATTATTGTACTCTTAGTATTTGATGTAAAAGTAGCATTCTTTTTTTCTGTTATTAGTATTTGAAATATTAAACCTTAAATTTAGAAATATAAAATTTCAACTTCAACAACTTGTATTATTATCATGTTTCGCTGCAATTTTAATGTCTTGGCGCAGTGCACATTAAAAAACATAATCAAATTCTCCTTCTCTAAAAAGGCAATGATAATAAGCATAGTTTCTCATATGTGTTGAATATATATTGTAAATTAGGTATATCGTTTCATCAATGTCCAATGCGTGATTTAATTATATCAATATTTTTTAGTTCCCGTTTGGTGCATAACTTTATTGACTCTTAT